TGAGGCCCACCAATCGAACCAGAGCATCCTGAAGAATTGGGGTGGCAATGAACCCCTCTGGGACCTGAGCTGGGCCCACCGGAATTGCCTAGGCTGTAACCTCATCATCAATGTCAACCTGAGGCTCCACCGCTGGTGCTGCTGCTCTGGGCTGAGCTTTGCCCCTACCTCGGCCTCTAGTACGGCCTCGGCCTCGCCCTCTACCCCTCGTGGGAGCTGCTGCTGGGGGCTCGGGATGCTGAGCGGTAGATGAGGAAGCGCGTGTTCTCACCATCTGCGAAAGAACAGAGTAGAAATTCAATTAGCATTGAGAAACAAAACCGCACGATAAGAAAGAACAATGTGAAGTTTTTCCTAACTCTGTAGCCCCTGGGGGATAAATACAAACGTCTCTGTACCGATCCCTCAGACTCAGCTAAGCTTGTCCGTGAGTTGTGAGACCTATGTAACCTAGAGCTCTGATACCAACTTGTCACGACTCGGATTTTCCACCCTCGGGAGTCGTGATGGCGCATACTAATGAGAGCTAGGCAAGCCAACTCTTAACTACTTTTATCTTTTATAGATTATTTCTTTTATCAAATATTAGTAATAGCATAAAAAAATGACTGGATTAAATAAATATGCGGAAGACTTAATTTAAAGCGACTGAATGTAAAATGACTGAATTAAATAAATATTAGTAATTCATTTTATAACTTGAGCCAACGCTCCTCAAATATTAAATATCACCATTTCTTTCACATGCACTTCACAACATATAGAAGTCATCACTTAATCATGGAAGATATAACCAAATTCGAACATTCACGATATAAGGATTTACGGTCATGCTAGACACCAACGTATAGATACTCGTCACCATGCCTATACGTCGTACTCGACAAATAGCAAGTAGCAATTAAGACTCAGCTCCTATTCCCTCAAGCTAAGGTTAGACGAAACACTTACCTCGCTTTGCAACCAATTCAAAATTCCAACAAGCCTTTGCCTCGCGAATTCGTACCCGAAATTCTCAAATCTAGTCATAAACAATTCAATTAAGTTAATAAAATTATAGGAATTAATTCCATATGAAATTCTACATTTTCCATTTAAAATCCAAAATTGCACTAAAAATTCGCCCGTGGGGCCCACGTCTCGGAACCCGACAAAAATTACGGAATATGAAACCTCATCCAACCACGAGTCCAATCATACCAATTTTACCAAAATCCGACATCAACTCAACCCTCAAATCTTCAAATTAAACCAAGAGGGTTTTCAAGATTTTCCCTACTAAAATCACCAATTAAATGTCAAAACTAGTAATAGATTCGGGTAATCTAACCAAAATTAAGTTAAGAACACTTACCCCATTGTTTTCTCTGAAAATATCCCGAAAATCGCCTCTCCCCGAGCTCCAATTTGCGAAGTCCCATTTTCAGAAGTTACATTCTGCCCAGAATGTTTTCGGGGTTACTGTTCACGTTTTTTTACTGTTCACGGATACTGTTACGGGTTACTATTCATGGGTACTGCTCACGAAAACTATTTCAGCAATTTTCTGCAATTTTCCTAAGTCCGAAATCACTCCGAGACACCTCCGAAACAATCCCGAGCCCTCGGGGCTCCTAACCAAACATATACACTAACTCAACAACATCCTACAAACTTAACCGTGCGATCAAATCACCAAAATAATGTCATATACCACAAATTAAGCTTTAAAATCCAAGAATTCTTTCAAATTTCATAAAATATCAAATTTTCCATTTTGAGTCCGAAACACGTCAAACGACATCTGTTTTCAACCAAACTTTACAGAAAGTGCTTAAACCATATATAAGACATATACCATGCACCAGAACCAAAATACGGGCCCGATACCATCACTTTCTAATCAAATTTCATTTCCATTTTCTTTATATATTTTCAGAAAACAATTTTACTCAAAAATTCATTTCTCGGCCCTGGGACCTCGGAATTCGATTCCGGGTATACGCCCAAGTCCCATATTTTCCTACGGACCTCTCGGGACTATCAAATTACAGGTCCGGGTCCGTTTACCTAAAATATTGACCGAAGTCAAATTTATTCATTTTAATATCAAAACTTAGCAAATTTTCACATAATTTCATATTTGAGCTTCCGGCTACGCGCCCGGACTGCGCACGCAAATTGAGGCAATTGTAAATGAGGTTTTCAAGGCCTCAGAAGCTCGGAATGGATAAGAAAATAGGTGATGACCCTTTGGGTCGTCACAACTTTCTATTTATATTTTATACTGTGCTATAATAATTGTTTTTAACTAATCATTGTTATCACTTCTATAAATTTTATCTTTAAGTTACTCTTATATTAATTTTGTAATTCTCACGGAGGAAAATTAATATATAGTAACTATTGAATAAAATAGTGAAGTGAGAGTAATTATTAGTAAGTTATTATTAAAAGTCTTTAATCTTGCTTACCTCAATTTTAATTCTCATGGAGGAATTGTAGTCTCAGGAGTATTGATTTAGTAAAAATATTCTCACGAAGTTTTTACTATCTTTAGTACAATTCAGACCAGAAGATATTCCGATTTAACTGTCACCAGTTTTAACTCAATTAATTACATAACTTCACGGAGTGTTATTAGTTGATTAATCCTTGGTGAGGTAAGATATAATTGTATTAGCAATAAGCAATTATCCTTTAGAGAAATACATGTAGAAAGTGAGATTTTATTATAATATATTATCAAGTTAATTTAACGATTCTCAACTCTTTTAAATCACAAATCTTTCGAAAGTTGTTTAATTTTTTTTAAGTATTTAACAAGTTTTAATTTCACAAACTTTTCATCAATCTGATTCTCTCAAATAGTAGTTGAAATATTAAACGTCTGTAGCATAGATGTTTCAATCTCTGTTCCAATCTCTGTGGGACGATATCATAAACTATACTAGAATTTGACAAAGCACGAGCAGGAAAATCTTATACACATTGGCCTCGTCAAATTTTTGGCGCCGTTGCCTGGGATTGGCATACATCTACTTCAGATTAAATATTTTGTTACTAATTTGAGAATTTATTACTGTTATTTTTGTTTCAGTTAATATTTTCACTAATCAAGTGCTATAACTACTACTGTGATATTAATCCTAATGTAATGTTTATGTTCATAATGGTATGGTAAAAGTTTTTTTTTCTTTTTTGTATTATTTCTTCCTACTAGTTCCATCATTAACTGTTTTTAGCAAATTATACATACTGCTATTGGTACTCTCTCCTTTATCATAATAATAGTGTTATAACTACTATTTACTATTTTTGTAACGTGTATATTTATAACTGTTATACTATTGTTAGTTCTTTCACATTGAAGTTTTTTTTACTACTGAAAAATATTCTTATGACCATTCCAACTATATGTACTATCACTAATTACCTTTTCCATATATAATAGTATTATAGTATTGTTTCTTGTCATAGTTCATTGTTGCATCGTTTTGTTTTTCTTTATAACTATCTTGTTATAAGTTTGAGTAAAATATTATTATCCTCTATAGATAATAAAATTATTGTATAATTATTTTTGCTTAGCACCTACTGTTTTTATCATTTTTTTAATTTTTTATACACTTATATTTTTTTCTTGTACTTTCTTTATTTAAGAATTTTAAGTAGTTTATGACCCGCTCTTCTACAAAAGAGTTGGTCAGTTTCGATCCTGAAATTGAAAGATTTATTCGATTGTGCAGGAAAGAACAAACATCGTCTTCTCAAGGAGCATCTTGTAAAGAAATGGAAAATGAGGAAGCAGAGGACATTAACCCACTTGGGATCCCACCACTAGTCCATGTAGAGGAGCAATTTGATGAAGTGGCGCCAAGGCCAGCAAACAGAATTCTTAGGGATTATGCTAGACCTGATCGCTTTAATTGTGAATCTAGTGTCAGGAAGCCCCCAGTGGCAGCCAACAACTTTGAAATCAGGACCGGCCTGATTCAGACAATTCAACAATCTTGTATCTTCACTGGTGATACAAGTGAAGACCCACATAGTCATTTAATTGATTTTCTAGAACTTGTAGAAACTGCTAAGTACAATGGAGTACCTCCTAAAGCTATCAAGTTAAGGCTATTTCCTTTTTCTTTAAAAGGAGATGCCAAGACTTGGTTTCGAAGTTTTCCTCAAGGGTCCATTACGGCATGGGACCAGATGACTTAGAAGTTTTTCAACAAATATTTTTCCCCTGCTAAAAGAATAAAGTTAAGACAGGACATATCTAATTTCTTGCAGACTGACACTGAGTTAGTTTATCAAGCTTCGGAAAGATTAAAAGCAATGTTAAGAAAATGCTCACACCATGACATTCCTGAACATATGCAATTGTAAATTTTCTAACACGGGCTAAAAACCTCTGCTAGAAATGTGATAGATGCAGCTGCAGGAGGATCTGTAATGGGAAAAACCACAGAGGAAGAATTGCAGTTGTTGAATGAAGTTTCTGAGAACGCTATCCAATGGCCTTCTGAGCGGTGTAGTCATTAAAAAGGCTGCAACGGTAAATTAGGTTGATGCTTTAAATACACTAACACAACAAATTGTTTCTTTGGAACAAAAGTTTGAATCTTTTCAGGTGAATACACAAAAATCAAACCAATCTGAGGCTTGTGACATATGCGGAAGAAAACCACCAAAACCATGAATGTAAAGCAACCAATCAAACGGATGAACAGGTTAATTTCATCGGTTACAAGTCACATCCTTTTGGGAGTCCAATGGCACAGAAGCATCCAGAATTTCAGTGGAGTAACCCAAATGGTGTAGAAAACTCTCAAAGCTTCCAGAAACAATAGGTACATGGTCCGTCGGGATACCAAAGTCAAAATCGTGGGCAGCCGAGTTACAGACCTTATCAGCAAGCAGGACCATATCAACAAACAAGGTCATACTAGCAGAGGCCCTAACAAGCTCATCCAAATCTTGATGACCTTTTGTACAAGTATATTAAGGTCACTGATGAAAAGATGAAAACCCAAAATTCATCCCTTAAAAATCTAAAAATTCAGTTAAGCCAATTGGCAGCTCTTGTGTCAGAAAAGATTCAGGGTCCCTTACCAAGCAATATAGAGAAAAATCTAAAGGATCACCTTACGACCATCACTTTATGGTTAGGTAAGGAACTTGATGAACCTTATGCAGACAGACAAGAAAAGAACCAGAAAGAACAACAGGTAGACAAGGGTAAGAATTTTGAAAAACCATCTGAACCATCAAAGGAAAAAGAAATAAAGAATAAGAAAGAAAAAAATTTTGAAAAAATGGCTCCCCCACCTATGACAATTCCTTTTCCATAAAAAATGAAACGAGAAAAGCTTGATGGTCAATTTGCAAAGTTATTGAAAATATTAAAACAGATTCATATTAATATTCCTTTTACTGATGCTTTGTCGCAAATGCCTTCATATGCTAAATTTTTAAAAGAAATTTTGTCAAGTAAAAGGAAATTGGAAGAAGTTTCTGTGGTAATGCTTACTGAAAAATCCAGTGCTATACTTCAAAATAAGCTACCATAAAAACTTGGTGATCATGGCAGTTTTACCATTCCATGCACTTTGGGAGGTGTATATTTTAAAAAAGCACTTTGCGATTCTGGAGCTTCAATAAATTTGATGGCATTTTCTTTCTTTAGAAAATTGGATCTTGGTGAAATGAAGGACATAGGTGTTTCTCTTCAGTTTATAGATCAAAGTACTAAGAAACCTAAGGGAATAATTAAAAATATGTTTGTAAGAGTAGATAAGTTTGTTTTCCATGTAGATTTTATAGTACTTGAAATGAAAGAATGTCCTGATGAACCGATAATTTTGGGTAGACCATTTCTTGCTACAGGAAGAGCAATCATGGATGTTTATCAAGGGCAACTAATCTTGAGAGTTGATGAAGAAAGAGTCATTTTTGATATGCAAAAGATACTAAGATTTTCAGGAGATGAGGCATCATCTTCATGCTTTTCTATTGACATGATTAGTGATCTTGCAGATGAATTCAAAGATGATCAATTAATTTCAGACTCAATGAAAAGATGTTTGACCAAATCAAGCACCGCACAAGATGATGATCCCACAATTAGGAGAGAAGCTAAAATACTGAAAAAAGATTCGGAGGATAAGGAGATGCAATTAGAAGAAGTTCAACCAAAATTGAACTCAAAGTTCTTCCCTCTCATTTAAAATATGTTTATCTTGAGCAAGAACTATTTCCAGTAATTACATCTTCTTTAACTGCAGAACAGGAAGAAAGACTAATTCAAGTCTTAAAAGCACACAAAGGAGCTTTAGGGTGGACTGTAGAGGATATCAAAGGGATTAGTCCAGCAATTTGTACGCATAGAATCCTCATGGAAGATAGCTACAAGCCAATAATCCAATCCCAAAGGAGATTGAATCCTGCAATGCAGGAAGTGGTGAAAAAGGAAATTGTCAAGCTTCTAGCGGCAGGTATTATTTACCCAATTTCAGATAGCCCTTGGGTAAGCCCAGTTCAGATAGTACCAAAGAAAGGAGGTATGACAGTTATAAAGAATGAAAATAGTGAACTCATACCTACGAGGACTGTTACAGGATGGAGAGTCTGTATTGATTACAGACGCCTCAATAATGCTACCAGAAAAGATCATTTTCCTTTACCATTTATTGATCAAATGTTAGAAAGAATTGCATGATATGGTTTTTACTGTTTTCTTGATGGCTATTCAGGGTATAACCAAATACCAATTGCACCCGAAGATCAGGATAAGACAACTTTCACATATCCTCATGGAACATATGCATACAGGAGAATGCCATTTGGTCTGTGCAACGCCCCTGCTACATTTCGACGTTGCATGTCAGCAATTTTTTCTGACATGACTGAAAAATTTCTTGAAAATTTTATGAATGATTTCACACTCTTTGGAAATATTTGAAGATTGTCTTTACCACTTAACTTTAGTTCTTAAGAGATGTGAAGAGACAAACTTGATTCTGAATTGGGAAAAATGTCATTTTATGGTTATAGAGGGAATTGTTTTAGGACATAAAATCACTGCTAATGAGATAGAAGTTGATAAGGCTAAAATTAATCTTATAGCAGGATTACCCCCTCCCACAACTGTTAAAGGCATTAGAAACTTTCTAAGTCATACAGGTTTTTACAGACGGTACATAAAGGATTTTTCAAAGATTTCAAAACCTCTGACTAACCTTTTGATGAAAGATGTTAAGTTTGATTTTCAGGTGATTGTATAATAGCTTTTGACACCCTTAAGGAGAAATTATCAACTGCAACTGTAGTTGTGTCTCCTGATTGGAGTCAACCTTTTGAGGTTATGTGTGATGCTACTGATACGACAGTTGGAGTTGTTTTAGGCCAAAGAAAGGATAAGATTTTTCGTCCTATTTACTATGCCAGTAGAACACTGTGATGACCCAAAAATGTCATCTTTAAATTAAATAATCATTTCAGTATTTTAAGACCTTAAAAAGTGCTATCAATAATTCCTCGACTTGCGTGCGTAGTCTGTATAATGTTTCGAAAGATTTTATGTAAAAATGGATTAAATTGTGAACTAGAGCTTTAAAACTCAACTGAGTTGACTCCAATCAACATTTTGAGAAAACAAACCCGGATAAAAGTTTTGACCATTCCAGTAGTTTCGTATCGTGATTTGGGACTTGGTCATATAACCGAAATCGAAATTTGGAGGTCCCTAGATCAAATTATCGCCATTTAACGGAATCTAGAAATCTAAGGCTAAAGATTTCTTAATTTTGACCTGAGATTTGACTTTTGAGAAAAAGACCCCGGAATGAATTTTGATGATTCCAATAGTTTCGTATGGTGATTTTGGACTTAGGAGCATGTTCGGATTTGGATTTGGAAGTCCGTAGGACAATTCAACGCATTTTGCCAGAAGTTGGAAAATAGAAGATTTTTGGAAAAGTTTGCCCGAGAGTTGACCTTTTGATATCGGGGTCGGAATCTAGTTTTGAAAATTTTCATAGCTTCGTTATGTCATTTATGACTTGTGTGCAAAATCTGAAGTAAATCGGACTTGATTTGATAGGTTTTTGCATCGAATATAGAAGTTGGACGTTCTTAGTTTCATTAAGCTTGAATTGAGGTGTGATTCACGGTTTTAGCATTATTTGATGCGATTTGAGGTTTCGACTAAGTCTGTATCATGTTTTAGGACTTGTGGTGTATTTTGTTGAAGTCCCGAGGGCCTCGGGTGGATTTCGGAAGGTTAACAGATATAAAAAGGCTGCTGAAATTTTCTGGGTAGTTTCTGCATTTTTCGCACGTGTGAATAGTGACCGCACTTGCGTGAACAGTATCTATGTAAAGTACACATGAACAATATCCGTGTACAGTACCCCCTTAAATAGTGCCCATAAACAGTACCGTGAACAGTACCCCGTGAACAGTACTCGAAATTTTCTCCCATTTTCCATTTTTACCAAATTGGAGCTCGGGGAAAGGCGTTTTTCGGGAGATTTTCAGAGAAAACAAAGAGGTAAGTGTTCTTAACTTAATATTGGTTAGATTACCCAAATCTATTACTAGTTTTGGCATTAAATCTGTGAATTTAGTTGGAAGAGTTTGAAAACCCTCTCGGATAGATTTGAGGATTTGAGGGTCAAAATATTGTCGAAATTTAGTAATTTTGGTATGGTTAGACTCGGGGTTGGATGAGGTTTCATATTTCACATTTTTCGTCGAATTTCGAGACGTGGGCCCCACGAGCGAATTTTTAGTGCAATTTCGGATTTTTAATGGAAAATGTAGAATTCCATGTGGAATTAATTTTTATATTTTTTATTGACTGAATTGAATTATTGTGGCTAGATTCGAGGCATTTAGAGGTCGATTTGAGAGGCAAATGCATTTTAGATTAGGATTTTTGCTCGGATTAAGGTAAGTAACGGTTATAAATCTAGTCCCGAGGGTATGAAACCCCGGACATTGTGTCGTATGACTATTTTAGAGGTGACGCACATGCTAGGTGACGGGCGTGTGGGCGTGCACCGTAGGTATTGTGACTTGGTCCATCCCGCGAGACTGTGGAATTAATTGGCCTACTGTTTAATACATGTTCCCTTTGTTTTCATGGAAATTGACTGTACTTCATGTTAGAAATCATGTTTAGGCCTTATGTGATCATTGTTGAAACCTGTGAGGTCGTGTACTTACTGAGTTAGCTGCTAATTGTTGTTTTGTACTCAGTCATAGCTTTTCTTGCTTATTATGCCTCTGTCTCTTGATGTTCATTGTTGATACATGACATTACCTCTGTTTGGGCTATTTATATGATTTTTGAGAGCCCGAGAGATTGGAGAAATTGATGACTGAGTGAGGCCGAGGGCCTGATCTGTAAGAATATTTATAGGATCTGGTTGCACGCCCGCAACATGTTGTTACTGATTTATGATTGAGTGAGGCCGAGGGCCTGAGTGATTTATGCCACGAGGTGGCTTGTTATAGCGCTTGGGCTGAAGGAGCCCCTCCGAAGTCTGTACACACCCCAGTGAGCACAAGTACCTACTAAGTGAGAGTGCTAAGTGCAAGTGCTGAGTGCGAGTGCCGAGTGCTGAGCGATTGGGAGGAATGAGTGAATGTGAGGAATGAGTGATTGTGAGGTTAGAGTGAATGGGAAGACATAGTGACTGTTATTCTTTGAAAATACATTTACTTCATTACTGTTGCATCGCAAATGTCATATCACTATTTTAAAAATTATTGGAAGATATTATTTACTGCTCAGTCAAATTTAATATCTGGTTTATTGAGTACGTACTGATATGACTTAAACTGTTAAATTGAAAGTATGGCTACTCTCATTTGAAAGTTATTGAGATACTGTATTTGCATAGTTCGTCACTACTTCTCAGTTCCTTATTTATTTCTGTTACTTACTGAGTAGGTGTACTCACGTTAACCCTTTACTTCGTGTACAGATCTGGAAACTTCTAGTCACGACGGTTGCTGATTGAGGAGTCAAACTCAGGAGACTATTGAGGTAGTTTCATGGCATTCGCTGACTTTGACTCTCCTTTCCTTTCATATTCTACTGTTCTATATTTTCAGATAGTGTTTTATCAGTCGGATGTTGTTATTATTTAGATGCTCATGCACTCAGTGAACCGGATTTTGCGGGATGGATTGTTTAGTACTTTTGGAGTTATATTTTGTTCTAAAAAGTTTTATTTAATATTAACTGCTTTCGCCTTTATTTAAAAGTTCTACTGTGTTGAGATGTTGAGTTGAAGCTTGCCTTGTGCCACGATAGGTGCCATCACGACGGGTGAGATTTTGGGTCATGACAAACACTAAGTGAGGCTTAACTGAATTATGCCACAACAGAAAAAGAGTTACTGGTAGTAGTATTTGCATTTGATAAATTTCGTTCTTATTTGATAGGAACAAAGGTGACTATTTTTACTGACCATGCAGCTTTAAAATACCTCTTAGCCAAAAAAGATGCTCGACCTAGATTGTTAAGATGGATTTTACTTCTGCAAGAATTTGACCTTGAGATAAAAGATAAAAAAGGAACAGAGAATCAGGTAGCTGACCATTTGTCTAGACTAGAAGACCCTCCCCTTGAGTTCAACGAGATAAAAGAAGAATTTCCTGATGAACACATTTTTTCAGTTGACTCTGTTGTGACTCAACCACCCTGGTTCGCAGATATTGCTAACTACTTGGTTGGAAGATGGACACCCCAAGATCTCTCTTACCAGCAAAGAAAAAAGTTTATTTCTGATGCTAAGTATTATTTTTGGAATGAACCTTACTTGTTCAAAATTTATGCAGATAATATCATCAGGAGGTGTGTACCTGAAGAAGAGATGACCAAAATTTTGTATCACTGTCATGATGGAGCAATTGGAGGTCATTATGCTGCAAACCGTATGACATTTAAAGTATTGGAGGTCGGATTTTTCTGGCCAACACTCTTCAAAGATGCCTGAGCATATGTTACACGATGTGGCAGGTGTCAGAAAACAGGTAATATCAATAAGAGAGATGAGATGCCATTACAATCAATACAGGTATGCGAAATATTTGATGTTTGGGGAATAGATTTCATGAGTCCTTTTCCTTCTTCTCATTCATTTAAATATATCCTTGTGGTTGTGGATTATGTATCAAGATGGGTTGAAGTCATCCCCACAAGGAAGAATGATGCTCATACGGTGTGTAATTTTCTTAGAAAAACTATTTTTACTAGATTTGGCACACCTCGAGTCATCATTAGTAATCAAGGAACTCATTTCGTGAATAGGCAATTTTCTGCCTTGCTATCAAAATATGGTGTGACTCATAAAACTGGAACACTATATCATGCTCAAACACAGGGGCAAGTTGAAGTTTCCAATCGCGAGTTAAAAAGAATTCTTGAAAGACGGTTGGAATTTCAAGAAAAGACTGGTCTTTAAAATTAGATGATGCATTATGGGCATACCGAACGGCGTTCAAAACGCCAATTATAAACATCTCCATATAAATTAGTCTTTGGAAAGGCTTGCCATTTGCTAGTTGAATTAGAACACAAAGCTTTTTGGGCACTGAAAGTATTAAACTTTGAATTAACCTCTGCTGGTAAAAAAAAGATTTTTTCAGGTTAATGAATTGGAAGAACTGAGGTTGGAAGCTTATGAAAATGCCAGAATATTCAAAGAAAAAACAAAAATATGGCATGACAATTTGATCCGACAAAAAAGTTTCAAAATTGGAGATCAAGTACTTCTTTACAATAGCAGGCTGAGGCTATTTCCAGGAAAATTAAAATCCAGGTGGACAAGTCCTTGTAATATTACAGATGTTACTCCATATGGGGCAATTGAAATTCAACAGATCAATGGAGGAGACAAATTTAAGGTAAATGGTCACAGGTTAAAGTTGTATTTTGGAGGACATTTTGAGCAACAACCATCGATAACCTTGATAGTCTAATACATTATGTTATTAATAAGTCGAGATGACGATATTAAACTCAGAACTACAATTTTCTTACCCGTAGCCATTGAGGGTAAAGCAATGGAGCCTCATAAGCCCAATATAATTTGTATGAACAAATGCTTAACCAATTGATCTGGTTAATATCCAGATTATTGTACAATCGGGACATCCCATGCAGGCCTCTACAAAAACAGAGCCATCTATATAGGAGTAATTCCGTGGTGGTCGGTATGCCTAAGTTACTGGTTGGTTAACCATCTAACTATGTAAATTAATTATTGGCTCAGGTAAATTTTCTGGTTTATAGCAAAACCTGGACCCCATGACTAATAAGGTCTAAAAGCTAGTCTAGTCTATTATACATAGAATATGTGTGGTCACAGTTTCTTTCAAGCTTTCTTCTGTGACTGTAAATTTGAAAGCTAAAAAGAGTTTTAATTTATATTTTCAGAAATTTCTTTAGTACTTCATGTGTATATATATATATATATATATATATATTTTCTATAATGTTATAATAAATTTTTTCTTCTTAAATGATTGTGTCGTTGTAGGTTTATAATTAGTAAAATAAATTCTTTCTATTGTGCTCAAATATTAAGTCTTTTTTTCATTATCATGTCAATTCCATGCCTAAGACTTTAATTTTGTGAAGGCAAAAACTAGCGTCTCCAACTCGCGAGATCAAAGGAATTGAGAAAAGTTATTATCACAAGAAGGTATACTCAATAATTTTTCTAGAACTTGCTCTAAATGTTCTTCGAGGCGAAATAATGGATGACACTGATTCTTGAAAGATGAAATTAGGCTTTCTTTGATACACCTTTTAGCCCCTTTTAGTTTATTCTCTTCAAAAAAAAAATGAAACTTTTACCTCTTAGAACTTATTTTTGAGCCATTATCCTTTTTTTTTTTAAAAAAAACACCATGGTCTATAACCCCCAAAAGAAAGGAAAAAAAGAGAAATGTATATTACTACTACAGTTATTACTTCTTCCAGCCATGATAAATAATGTTTGTTAGAAAAAGAGAAGAAAGACTGTGCAAGGGCATGAAACGAAAAAAGAGAGAGATGATATAATATATAAGAAAAAGAAAAAGAAAAGGAAAAAGAGAGAGATATAATATATAAGTGTGTGTATATTCTTATATCTCTTTATAAAAATAAAGCAAAAAGAAAAAAAAAGAAAATGCAAAAATACTGGGGAAAAAAAAGATGGAATAATTAGTATCAAGGTACATTTGCTCCAAGCTGGAAGAAAAAAAGTCACTATAAAAATATCTTTATCCTACCAGCCTGAAGCCTGACATTATAAGCGAAGAAAAAGTCCTAAATAGATTTCAAAAATCAATGTTGAATCTACATTAGTGGATATTAACATGAAGATCAAGCCTATGGACGAACAATTGTGATATTCAAGACTTATGATCATAAAGTTATCAATTCCGAAAGATTTAAGAGGAAAATAATGCAAATTTTATTTTTTCAAAAGTAAAATCAGAAGCAAGGTAAAAGATTTGGTGAAGCTTAAAAGATTAATCATTTGGCATGATGAAGGAAGTTATTTTGAATAAATTTTCTATCCTACAAAGACTAACGTTTTGAAGAAAATGTTACCCAAGAAAAAATTTATTAGTAGAAATGTTTTTCCTCGAGGACGAGCAAATATTCAAGTGTGGGGGAATTTGATGGGTTTAATTTATTCATATATTTTTATATGTTAAATATTAAAGATTTTAAATAAAACATGAATAAATATACCATGTTCTCCCATATTTTCTAACATACTTCGCAGGAGGAAGAGCTTATGAAAATTAAAGAAAAGAAGCAAAAAAGAGTGAGAATTGAGTAGTCATCCGGGAATGAAGAAGCAAAAATAGCACCATAGTTGCGACAATGGAAATTGGAATTCATGAAGCAAATTACATAGTTGCAACTAGCAAAGTATAGTTGAAACTATGGTTCTTCCTCTGCAGAATGGAACTCATTTGGCAAAGTTGTAGTTGCACCTATAATTTTCATAGTTGCAATTACAATTTCCATATTTGCAATTACAATTTCCATAGTTGCAACTATGGAGAACCTTAGGCAAGAAAACTCTATAAATAGAGTGTGAATTTTGAAGAGAAGACATAGAGTCTTACGAGAGAGAACTATTCTTTGGTCTCTCTTTTCTTTAGTATTTTCTACTAGTTGTCTTTCTTTTAGAATAATAATATTTCTTCATAAGTTATTTGTTCCTAAATTAATTTTTTCTTACTTCATAATGGAGTAATTTGTTTTTGTTGGGATAGTTGATGAAGCTTGATATATATATTATAATACTATCTCAGTTTTAATACATTCTTGGTTTGGAACTTTCTATTTATATTTTATACTGTGCTATAATAATAGTTTTAACTAATAATTGTTATCACTTCTATATATTTGATCTTTAAGTTACTCTTATATTAATTTTGTAATTCTCACGGAGCAAAATTAATATATAGTAACTATTGAATAAAATAGTGAAGTGAGAGTAATTATTAGTAAGCTATTATTAAAAGTCTTTAATCTTGCTTACCTCAATTTTAATGTAGTCACATGAGTATTGATTTAGTAAAAATATTCTCATGAAGTTTTTACTATCTTTAGCACAATTCAGACCAGAAGATATTTCGATTTAACTGTCATTAGTTTTAACTGAATTAATTACATAACCTCACAGAGTGTTATTAGTTGATTAATTCTTGGTGAGATAAGATATAATTGTATTAGAAATAAGCAATTATCCTTTAGAGAAATACATGTAGAAAGTGTGATTTTATTATAATATATTATCAAGTGAATTTAACGATTCTCAACTCTTTTAAATCACAAATCTTTCAAAAGTTGTTTAATTTTGTTAAGTATTTAACAAGTTTTAATTTCACAAACTTTTCATCAATCTGATTCTCTCAAATAGTAGTTGAAATATTAAAAGTCTGTAGCATAGATGTTCCAATCTCTATGGGATGATATCATAAACTATACTAGAATTTTACAAAGCACGAGCATAAAAATCCTATACACATTGGCCTCGTCAAACTAGTTCAAAAACAAATGGATAGGATTCTCTAATGTGTTGAACAATGGTAGGATTTGGTCATGATTTAAATATTTATATTTCTAATTATCCAGAGTATAAAAAATATACCTTGGCATTCAGATGAACCAATACTGATGAACCAGGTTCTTCATTTAAAATTCTCTTGATCATGCCTCAATTTACTACAATAGAGAAAATTTTGTTAAAGATCAGCGAGTCATATTAACACATGTCACAGGAGTATACTATTTACAGTATGAAGCTGAGTAAAAATTAATCTAGATATTTACACAAGTTCCAGATTTCCTAGCCAAATATATTTTTTTTCAAATTTTTTTCATTGTGCATTCTGAGCTGATCCCATTAGGTGATCTTAATCTTCCATAATTCTAACTTGTTCCTTTCAAAGCTTTCTCTACCCAGTGTTTTAGTAAAGATGTCATCAATTTGTTTATCAGTAGCACAGAATTCTATGGTAATCAATCCTTTCTCATTGTTGTCCCTTAAGAAGTGATGTCTAACATCTATGTGCTTAGTCCTCTTATGATGTACTGGGTTCTTTGTCATACTTATAGCACTAGTGTTATCACAAAAGATAGGAATGCACCCAACTTCAATGCCAAAATCTATCAGCTATTTTTTGATCCACATCAATTAAGCACAACAAGAGGCAGCAACAACATATTCAGCCTCAGTGTCGCGCTCCCTTTTTCCTTTGCGGAATCAGGTTCATGACATTTTTGGTTATGAGACAACTCTTTCCTTTTGAAAAGGGGGTTTGCAATTTTGAAGAGTCGCCTCCTAACGATTTAAGGTGCGTTAGGGCACCTATAGGGTTCATTTATAACTACGTTTGGTAACCAGAGATAGGGTAAGAGCTTGAAATTATCCCAAGGGGAAGGTGTTAGGCACCCCTCAAGATCCACTAGTGTGGTTCCCGG